TGCATTGACCTGCACAGTGTCATGGCGGAAGAGTTGTCTTCTATAACCTCAATAATAATACCTCAGAAATAATCAGAAATTGTTTATCTTACCTACTTTAAATGATATATACCATTCATCGACTCGCACAATTTTCGTAAGATAAACAATTTCTGATTATTTCTGAGGTATTATTATTGAGGTTATAGAAGACAACTCTTCCGTCATGACACTGTGCAGGTCAATGCAAGTAATCTGAGTCTCAAATCGAACTTGTGATCGAAGTCAACCCGACCCGGAGTCGGGTCGAGTCGGTTAATCGAAAACGCTAACGTCATTTGTGTCGCTTGTTGAAAGGCATAAGCGGGGAGCACAGACTTTTGCATAACGCATAAAGCATGTACATAAGGAATTTCATTGGTCCAACACCGACGTAGGGAGTGATGGTAGGGATCCGATCTGGTGGTGGGGGTTCAATGTCGCTTCTCTTTTATATATAGGACTCTAGTCGCTAGCATGGTGGTCGCTAGCATGGTGGTCGCTAGCGAAAATCCAGTCACGTGACTTCTTTATCGCTCAAATCGAGCAATGAGCGCAAGAAGACTAGAACCAGGAGAGTCAACTAGCGTGGTGGGGGTAGGTCAAAAAACATCCGCGGTTATTCACACAATGCGCAGTGGCATTGCACATTTGTGTGACATGCGCAGTCACGAATTGAAAACGACTATCAGAGCGACAGAGAGGACTAATGAAGCGCAAGAGTGGGGGAAGTTATTCGTCGTCACTTTTTGGCCTACCGATATTTGACCGAGTTGATTCCTTAGAGCATATATACATGGAGGAGGAATTGCCTATGCCGGGCATAGACCAAAAGCGGTGTAACTAGAAAGGTGAAGCAATTATAAGATGCGCAGTGGCAAGCCAATCAGATGTGTGCCTAAATTCAAAATTATTGTAGTAGGGGAATGGCTGGAGGGATCTTTGCGCGTAGTAAGATGGTGAGATGGTGTAGTGTAGTACCACAGTATATACAGTAGCGCAACTCTCATGATTTCACCATAGCTAAAAATGAACTGCACATGCGCGACCTAGAGGCCTAGAAAACAGAGATGCGACATTGCGTCGGTTGGGTTAGGTAACCACCGCCATTTTAATTCAATATAAGTGCTCTTGACCAATAAGCTGATGACAGTTGATGCAAAAGGTAGAAAGATTAGATTAGGTTAGGTTAAGTCCGATATTAAATATTCACACAAATAAGAATACTTACACCATAATAATAGTTTTTTATTGCACTTCGACACTGTATTGTCTAAATTTTTCTCTATATATATATATATGTGTACATACGTTATAAAACTATATCTATTAGATGCAATAGTGAATTAAAATGGCTCTCTGATCACGTGATTTAGACAGCCAATCAAGCCATACCCTTCAATAACGCATCTCTGTTTTCTAGGTCTCTATGTGAATTCTACATAAAGCCCATTCTACATTGGTCGTATCGTAGGCGTCGCAGGTCACAAATTTGTTGCAACAGCCAATCCGACGTGTCAATTATGGGCCTTCTACAATAAGTCATAAGTCATAAATCGGAAGTAAGAAACTAAAAATTGACGACTGTGATTGGTCCATTTCTAGCTTATGACTTACGATTTGTGACTTACGGCTTATTGTAGAAGGCCCATTAAAAGTCTCACGACGCTTACGATGCTACGATATGACCAATGTAGAATGGACTTAAGATCTTGGATCAATAGGCGCGTTCAGCGGACTCAACAGTTGAGTGAGCGTTTGCTGTTATTGGTGTATTCTTCTAGATCTAAATTCTGATTGGATGATCTAAAAGAATACACCAATAATAGCGAGCGCTCACTCAACTGTTGAGTCCGCTGAACGCGCCCAATTTCTATCATCGTGGTCTGCGTTCCGTTTCACGTATATGCGCGTATTCCCCAATAGTATACGTGACGCTCACTATATAAAATGCGCTCATATGCTTGAAACGGAACGCAGCCGGTGGATACTAGAGTCCCTATAATAAGGAGTCTGGCCAATCTTTCTAGTTTGCTAAAACATGGCGTCGTAGATATAGGTGTAGTCAACTGATGTGATACTATAAATATATCGTAAACAGTATATAATCATTATAAATAAATAAAATAACTAATTTTTTAATACATATTGATAAAAGATCACAGCCTGTGTAAAAAGTAAGTGAGATATATATATATATATAATATAGAAAACAAATTATACATGCTGACATTGAGGCATCTTATTGGTTCTTGAGGCTATTTGAGGCATCTTATTGGTTCCGCCATATTTTAGCAACACCAATAGAATTAGTAATGACTTGGCCAGACTCCTTATTATAGGGACTCTAGTGGATACAGGGCTTTAAAGCCCATTCTACATTAGTTGCAAGCTGATCGCAAGTTCGTTGCGACAGCCAATCTGAAACGTTGATTTCATAATGCAAGCTTGAGATTGGCTGTCGCAACAAACTAGCGATCGGCTTGCAACTTGTAGAACCGGCTTAAAGTGCACGATATAAATTAGGCCATAGCTCACTAGATACTAGTAGAGTCCCTATAAGAGAGTTGTGTCAATCTGAAGTAAAATGGCGTCTAATTGGAACTCTGGCAGAAAGGGACGCTAGACCTTATACTACGAAGAGCGTAAAATCATGGTGGCAGGCGAGACGAAAGCTCGCTAATACGAACGGCAACGAGACCTCGGTTTAAGTCCCGGCACCGGTGGAGTCCAGATATTTTTCTCGACCCACTCTTACAATATCAAAATTATAAGTAAGTCTATACATTATTATAAAGCTTTCGAATTAAAAATATATAAAAGATACAGATATTATGTAGGCGAAAGTGACATTCTAACCTTGTCTACTTGTCAATATTATATAATTTAACGTAAATTCTACTCTTACAACTTCTAAAATCTAAACCACCGCGTTCACATTACTCAAAAGTGGGGATATAACAGCATCGATGATTGGTTCCGCCATTTTACTTCAAAGCCAATGAAAATTTATACAAGATTGACACATCTATAGGGACTCTAGATACTAGATCCACAACCCAACGTCTAAAGGTGCTTTTTCATACGCAGCACGCTGCAGCAGCAATTCGTTACTATTGGTTAAGAATTTTATGTAAGCTAGATGACGCACTTCCGGCGCAAAATACATTTTGCCGCAGTTTGTTGAAGTTGAACCGAACGAACAGCAAGCAGCAAGTGGCAAAATCGAGAAAGCGTACAATATGTCCGTCGTTTCATTATGAAAATATTATTTATTGCAATAAATATTAGGAAAATAAACGAAGAATAGCTTCGGATAAGGTACGGATACATGTTTGTAAATTAGATCATTTTATACTTTACCACAAATTAAAGAGTAAAGTGTAAAGTATAAAATGATCTAATTTACAAACATTCGTACCTTATCCGAAGCTATTCTTCGTTTATTTTCCTAATATTTATTGCAATAAATAATATTGCCTCGATTTTGCCGCTTGCTGCTTGCTGTTCGTTCGGTTCAACTTCAACGAACTGCGGCAAAATGTATTTTGCGCCGGAAGTGCGTCATCTAGCTTACATAAAATTCTTAACCAATAGTAACAAATTGCTGCTGCAGCGTGCTGCGCATGAAAAAGCACCTTAACCCCGATCGTTACACTATTACCACAGTACTGTGCTATTACTTCGTAATTAGTAGGCGGTGAATTGATAAGATTTTATGTTTACTAAAATTTTATAAGATATTTCATCGAGTACTGAAACGATTTTTAAAATGGTATGTGTAAAAATATTTAATTTCTAATAAGATTAATATTGTTCATTGGAACTGATAAAAAATATACTCCAAATGTATAATTTTTCTCGACATTCTATGTGTTGTGATTGACATTTTGTGTGTTCTGTTTGATTAAACTACTTTTTTGATAAACCTAGCTGTAATATGTAAGATATTTGATGATTGAATAATTAAAATAGATCACAGCTACCACCTTTATATATAAAATTTATCTATCGAAAAATAAAGAATTATGTTAATAATTATTTTATTTTAGTATCTAATGTAAATTATTGAACAATATTTAAATAACAAAAATAAATATATTAAGCATTAAATGTTTATTTTTTATAGATACGATTTATCCTTATACAAAATAGGGCTGGTAAGACTAGATTAGCAAAGTGGTACATGAATTTTGACGATGATGAAAAGCAAAAGTTGATAGAGGAAGTTCATGCTGTGGTCACTGTCAGAGATGCAAAACATACAAACTTTGTCGAGGTTGGCTTAACAACATGCAATGTTTTTATATTTACATGCAATATCATTAAACATTAAATATATTTCAGTTTCGTAATTTCAAGATAGTATATAGGCGATATGCAGGCTTATATTTCTGTATTTGTGTCGATGTTAATGACAACAATCTCTGTTACTTGGAAGCAATACATAATTTCGTGGAGGTGTTGAATGAATACTTCCACAATGTATGCGAGTTGGATTTAGTTTTTAATTTTTACAAGGTACTATCCCTCTCCTTTTTCTTCAATAACATATTTTTAGCTTTATAAATTGAATGAAATTTCTGAGAATTATTAATTTCTTTATCTTATGTGATTCCTGTATACTGGATGTAAAAATATTTGCAGAATAGCAAAAAATCATACAATAAACTTACAGCTTCTAAGGAACAGACTGATCACCACATCATGTTTTGTGATATAACAAGTATTGCTGCAACCAGTGTATAGAATCCATTAATTGATTAACATAGTTTTACTTTATTACCTATTGTTACTCAACTGTAGCATGTTTGATAATATTGTATTGACAACTGTATTTTAGGTATACACTGTTGTGGACGAAATGTTTTTAGCTGGTGAAATTAGAGAGACAAGCCAAACTAAAGTGCTAAAGCAACTCTTAATGTTAAATTCCTTGGAATAAGTTTTCGCCTTTATGTATTAAGAAATGATCTGAATAAGTATCCAACTGAATGTACATCTATATTGTCTAGTTTGTTGCATAAGACACATATAAATACTCTATGTAAAGACATCATTTAGATGATTCTTAGTAATAATTTCTTTCACAAAAAGAACATAAGATATACAATGATGTCTGCAATTTGTTTGCATTATGACTACTTATAAAAAAGGTAACAACAGTGCTCAAAACATGTAGACACAAAACAAAAATGTAGAAAATATATCGTCTGTATTTCAAATATAAATGTTGTAAATATATGTGCTAAAGAATATGTCAAATGGCTCTCTTTATTATTGCATATATATGTGTATATATATTCTTACAACAGTATAAAAAATATTAATTTATTTTCTCACTATAAGAAACTCCTTTTGTCTCTAAAGACAAGAGAAACATAAGGTCAGCATACAATTTTTTTGTAATTGCATTTAAATTCAAAATAAATATGCACGTAATATATAAATAATATATAATTATAAGAAAAAATGTGTTATAAAACAGAGAAATAATATTAATTATAATGTTTGTGATAAGGCTCAATAAATTTAAAAATAATGAAAAAGAAAAAGGACTACGAGCCAGGCTACGAGCTCGTAGCTCTTTTTCTTTTTCATTAATATTAATTATCTTGTATACATTTAGTAGATGATCGAATAATACGCGCAATGCATGCACGCAAGCACATACACCCACCCACCACTGCTACAAAATGTATTTATTTCAAATTTGTACTTAAAAAAAAAAGTAGCTTGAAAAATCACTTTACAATGATGGATAAGTAATACAGATTTATTATGTACAAATAATACAGCTAAGTCGTAATTCAGTAAACTCGCGATTGCAATATAGCTTTCTGCAGTAATGTGCAAAATGTCATGTTCACTTCTTGACATAACAAATCCGCTGCTTTATCACCCAGTGCTGCTTGAGCCGTACTAACCCTACCAAGCTGTAATAACAATCCTGTAATATCCTCAGCCAATGGAGGAAAAGCCAAGCATATTCGCGTCAATGATGATAACACTGGCATGAAGAGAACAACTCGATCCTCAGCAGATAATACGCCCAAAAGCGTTATCAATGTATTAATCGCCAATCGAGAAACACTTAAAGCTTTCGGCAGAGCATACTGAATCGCCAGGTGCGAAGCCAAGTCAACGGCAAATATTTGTTTCTCTGATTCAGGTTGTGACAATAATTCTGGAATCCAGTCAAGGCATATGTGCATAGATGGAATTCCGGAAACTGTGATCGGTAACAATTTTCGAGGATAACCCTGTAAAAAAATATGAAAATTATATATTAAAATTAATTAAATATTCAATCGTCATAAAAATTATATATTAAAATTAATTAAAAGTAATATTTTAATAATTGATAATTAAGAATCTTATAGAACAGTATATGTGAGTATACAACTAATAGATGCCTTACCAGCCTTAATGATCTATCTTAAGTGCTTGTATACTTCTATTTTAATTTATATATGTAGTATATAATATATAAAGAAATAAAATATTTTCAGCGCACAGTTTAAAGAACAACATACATAGTATATATTTTTTAATTTACATAGAAGTATAAAAATATTTAAGACCCAGATAGATCATTAAAGACATTGATCTTCAATTGACAATTAATTAAAAAATAAAGAAATTACATAAAATATCTATTATATATAATTTATATTATTAACAAAGAAAAAAAGGGTGTAATACTTTCGATTTTGATGAACTTTTGATATATTGTCTGACTAAAATAAATGACTTTTTTTTATTAAATAAAGCTTATTTAGCGTTTATTTCACAATATTTTTCAATTTTTTTTTAGTTTCAACAATATTTACTTTAAAAAAAGAGAAAATCGATTTTCATTAAAGGAGTGTACTACCTAAAAGTGCATATAAGCACCTAAAAAATAAATATGCATACTTTATTCTTAACATATTAAAGACTCGTCAAAAGCAAAAGACACTTTTCTATGTGTTCTTGTAAGATATTGTTTGTTAAGATATTTAATAAGATATTTATAGTTTGTTATTACCTGAAAGTGAACTAATTTGGCCAAAGATGGATCAGCTATGAACACTTGATGTAAGTATGAACATACAACACTTCGTATTTCCCGGAGGGACCACATTTGTCCGGGAGTTTTTTTATCTTCGTCCGTCTCCAAGCATGCTTCTAACAAAATCTGCACTGCTGCGCTTTCTTGACCTGCCACCAAAGCTATCCTCAAATCTTCTCTTTCCGTTTCGCTTGTCAATTGTCCGATTTTTTCAGTCAGAGGTTTATCCAGCATATGTCTGGCTAATTGAGATCGCGAGGCAGCTAATGTAGCTTGTAAAATCCTACGAACAGTTAAATTTGATTTTTAATATAAAAACAGTTTCAAAAAATTGATTTACTTTATTTAATAGAATTTTTTCAACTTTTACCTCAGAATTACGGATAAAATCGGCGCACATCTAAAAACTCTTGTATCACATCTCAATACTTGCAATGGATCTAATACAATATTGTCTTGTGTTAAAAACACATTTTTCACTATTGAATTTTCTATTAACAACGCATTTATGGAAAGAACCCATAAACAACGTGGTAATACAGTATTAAGTCTCAGCCATACTTGTTTATAAAGTTCTGAAATTATAAAATCCTCTGTAAGTTCTTCATTAATAATATACAAATCTTTCTTATACGGATTAATTAACATTAATGTATAATTGATAACTCTTGGTTATTAAGACAATGTACCTTGTATATATCTAGGGACCTGCTCATCAAGAATGTCCTTGAAATAGTGTATTATTAACTCTGCATGAGGCCAGATTTCAGTTGGTTTCAGCGTCATAAGTTGTCTCAATAATCTACCGGTCCTCGATGGACAAGTTTTGACGTGGCTGAATGCCTCAATGATCGCAATATCGCTAATTTTCGTGCTTTCGTAGCTCGCGATGACGGTATCTATGTTAATCATTTCATCGTCGAGCCAGTCATCCACGAGAGACAGATGAGGAAAATGTGTAGCCAGTAATCGAAGAAGTGGTGAGAACAAGCTTGCATAGTTCATCTGGTCCCGCTGGACTAATTGTAGTAGATATTTAATTGGTAATTCAGACAGAAACTCTGTCGAGTACGACTTGACTTTTCTGCCTTGTGATATGAAGGTGTGCATATTGGACAATCTCACGTCTTCATAGAGCAGAAGGTAATAGAGCAGTAATAACTGTGAGGTGAGCGAAGGTTTCGACGTGTCAATGTCCATACTGTCAGCATCTATCTGCATGGTGTTAACGGGATTTTTCTTGAAATCAAAATTTGCTCCAAACATACTATTCTGAAATACCCGACAGATTTCGTTCTCGGTAATAGGCTTATTTGTGTGCTCGGACGTTTTGTTGTTCGTCATCAGAATAGAATTCACGTAGACCTCAACTAGAGCCGGTAGAACCGGATGCAATGGCGGTACGCTGGCACAGATCTGCCGGTATATCCAATTTTTAATTGGCACCCGGTGTTTTGCGAAAGCACGTGACTTTAACAACTGATGGATGCAATGCACTGGTAGGAAGCCAGGGATATTAGCGTTTAAATTCGCTGTGACTGGTACCTTAACTGCATGCGCAGTGACCACCTGTTCCGTGAAAATTTCCTGCATGAAGATTTGCTTGATCCGTGTGAGATTGTTAGGCCTGATTGGTATCTTCATGCCGAGTGTGGCACAAACCAACTCACAAATCGCTGATAACTGATTGCTGTGAAAGTGTATCGCCATCAGCAACAGCATTTCACCAAAACTGGCAGTAACGCCGCTTGCGCTTTCGAAGTAGGCCTCTTCTCGTACCAGCCATTGCACCCACTCGATGCTACGCTTCTCTAGATTGTGATGCCCAATCAGGGAAGGGCATGCTATCAACATGCACAAACCAAGCGACACGAATCTAACACCAGCGGGTGATGGCGGAGGATGCGACGTCAGAAGCTGAACGATCATTGCAACTTCATCATCTTGAAACTTAATACCACCGATACCTCGCAGAGCACAGTAGAGCCTGAGCAACGCGCTCGCTTGCACAACTTGCGACTCCGCTAATTGACTGTCTGTGCTCTGTGATGCAATCGTCTGCAGTCGTTTTAGTAGTTCCTCCCGTAATAATTGCAGAGCCGTCTGCGATTCCCACTGCGATTTACCACGATTTTTCTGTCCGTTCCTAATAAACATAGCGATCCAAGAGCGTACTTGTTGGTCGCTACCAAGTAGCAATCCGGACACAAAGGCGACTACATCACTCTCAGGCTGCAAGTTGTTTGTGTTTTCATGCTCTAAGCTCAGAGTGATAGCCAGAGCAGGCATCCGACATAACTCTACGCATTTAGCTCTAATTGCCAGTGCTTGACTCGGATTCATCTGACAAAGCATTATGATGGCTTGTGTCCTGATCCTGCCTAACGCTGATTCTTCTTGTCGTTCTCCATTAGCAATCAGATGCGCACACACCTCCGAAAAACTGTCTGGACTGTTGGCAACAATCCAACAGATAATATCAGGACCATGTTTGACATGCAGAAGGGTCTCTGCTATGTCCAAGATGGATAATAATGTTGGCAGTTCAGCAAGAGCAATGCAGATGACATAACTTATCTCTTCCATATAGACTGCATTGTCAAACAGATCTGACTGCTTAATCTGAAACTCTTGATTCTTTTGCAATTCCTGTATTTGAGATGCTATAAACAAGATCTCACTCAACACCAATCTGATTCTACGAATAGACTCACTGCGTTCAAACTCTAGTGCTAGACCACTCTGCAAGGACTGGGCCAGCACACTGTCTCGTTGAACACTACCAAGCTTCTGTCTAAAAAAAAATTGATAAATATATTACCATATATTCATTATACTTCAAAATATAAAAGTTATATAACAATATGAATCTGAAAATCATTGTGATATAAAAGATTCAATAGAAAAGAAATATTCTTCAGTGATAATCCAGGAATAATTATAATTTTTACACCTCAAAAACAAACAAATCAAGCTCAATAATAATTTTCTTTACCATTAATTACATCCTTCTTCTCTTTAATTTTTTTTCTGTAAAAAAAATGTAGAAATAAAACAGTCACGAAAAAATTTTACCCTCCTTTGTTATTCAATATAATAACTTTTAAATGAGGTGTAAAAATTTATTATACAGTAAAAAATTAAGTGATTATTCCTGGATCCTGGGTTAAATTTATCGTCGATATATAAAAAAAAAAAGAAAAACGAAATAGAATGCATAAGTATCTTAACCTCAATTGCTGCTCTTGTCGGACGTCGGTTTCAAGGGCGTGGAAATCGATCGATAATAGGGCGATAATAGAATTGACGGACTCAATACCGGATAATATCGTCAGAACTTGCTTTCTACCTTCCACGCAATCCTTCGTTATGTCCAACGGTGAGATGAGGCTCATCCTAACCAAACACGGTAAGATAGGTCTGATCTCCTTGTGCGAGCACAACGACAGCTCTTTGATATCGACATTCTGTATCGCCGTAAATACTCGCGGTGATACGCGCGTGTTTTCATACATTTCGTCTCCGAGTTTCTCTCAATTCTTTTGTGGATTAACCTGGACATTCGTAAATAGAAGAAAAACCACGCATTTACGCAGACATACGCCGTCAGTATTGGCCAGTACTGGCGGTAGTGCGGTACTCGCATCATCTGTAGCAATTGGTATCTGTATCATCACGCAAACACATTTTTCTTTTTATTTTTGCCGTTTTTGTTTATATAATCTTCTCGGTCCGATTTTAATGCGTGGTCACGTCGAAAAAATCCCGCCGACAATCACGACAACCGACTAAAGCCCAACCAAGGGCGCTATTCCACACGTCTACCGACAGTTGTTGATGCCGATAATTAACGATAGCCAATGGCAAGGACTGTCCCAGGAGAAAAGTGCGATTCTTATTGGCTATCGCTACTTAACGATACCGACAACTAATAAAAATTGGTTTTTTTTTTAATATTGTATATATAATCTATACCCATATTCATAGTCAGGCCTTATATTTAAGGTCCTTAAGTTTATCTTCAGATGCTTTACGAATTATTTTATTGGCTACTGAGCATCTAAAGATAAATTTAAGGAAGCCTTAAGTATAAGTCTGTGTTAGAATAAACAAAAGTAATTCTCATCCAGCTAATTCAAATTATTTACCCTTTACTATGAATTTAGTTTTAAAAGAACTTGACAACGGAGTTGTTTATTATTTGAGCATCGTTGTTGCTCTTGATGTTTGTCTGTCTGTTTTCTGGTACCGTTTGATTATAGATTAGAGCGTTCATGTAAGGTCTTACAATTTAGTTAAATTTATTAATTTAGCGTGAGCTTAAAATAAGAAAGATTTAAAGGAATACGTTATCTTTTCTCAAAGGAATTAGAATAAATAATTTTATACATCTCTCTCTTTCTCTCTCTCTTATAAACCCAGTATCTGAGAATGGATTGAAATGGATTAAAATGGTTTCAAATTTTCAAAAATATGGATTTATGAATGTTAAAATAAATCCTTTTTTATTCAAATAAATACGTTTTTATTCATTTATAGGAATTGCATGGAGCATATATCTGTATACCTTAAAAATAATATCAGCTTTTTAAGTGCGTTTGTGACCATGAATACTGTAGAATTCAAAATTTTGAATAGGAAACTCAGTTTTTTAATCCAGTTGCATCCAATTGAACCCAAAAAAAGTTTTCGCTGTTTAAAATACGAATTCGAATAGACAAAATGTCCAATCCATTTTAATCCATTCTCGGATGCTGGGGTGGTCAAGTCCCGTGTCAAAAGAATGAAGTTTTCCTGAAAGCTATCCGTAGCAAAAAAAACTGATAAAGAACGATAAAAAAATCTCGTCATTTTGAATATAGAAATTAGTTCATAAATTCATTAATTTGAATCAGTAGATTTTAAAGGAATCTTGTACAAATTTTATGTAACCGATAAAATATTATAGGATTTATATCCGATCAATCATGATCATGCTTATGATGACAGAAAATTTTATAAATTTGTAGAAAACAAGGTGATAAAAATGCTATTGTTCTCAATCGATCTCTCTCAACCTTTTTTTACCTAATATATATATATATATTTAAATAAGAAATTAGAATTCAGAGAAAGACTTTTTTTACAACTCTTGTAGCTAGATGTATTCAGAGAAAATCTTTGTTCTATATTTATACATGACATAATATAAATTGTGAATATTGTATATCTTATTATTTCTAAAAAATATATGTAATTTTTCAATCTTGAGGATATACAACGCCCAATTGTCTGCGCAACTCATCCTCCAGCTTCGCCAGCAACAAGGATGTATCGTGCGATACTTTTGGACTTTCTATTAAACCTGTGAAATATATTAAACATAAAATATTCAATATTAAATATAATTATTGATTTTATACAAAAATCAATTTTTTTTATTATCATAAAACATTCGAAAATTAACTTGGAAAGAAAAAGGACACTAGGAGTTAGGTGTAGATAACTTTACGCAAACGCTGATATTTATCAAGCAATAATTTTTATAATAAATAAGTTTTACTTGATAAATATCAGCGTTTGCGTAAAGTTATCTGCGCCTAACTCCTAGTGCCCTCTTTCTTTCCAAGTTAATTTTGAATTGTATGGAAGTTTTTGTTATCAAAGAATTATTATATAATCGAATATCTTAAAATACGCTTGACAATTTCTATGGCCAGATTCAAATTTAGCGCAAAAAATTATGTCAGAAACTATTCTCCCTACGTTTCAGTAGACCAAACCTCGCAGGCCTATGTAATTCTTATACAATCTCGCATAGCACATATTACTGATATATTACACAATGATAATCAACATTAAAATATCACAGTAACATTATGATAATATAACGACTTAAATAGCAGAGTGATATACTAGTATTATAATTAATGATATTTTTATATCTTATTAACATTAGAGACATCCATTAAGAAATCGTTAAGATATGTCATGAAGATATCACAAAATTATATGTATTATACATACAATTTTATAAGTGATATTAATTTTATTATAACTTTTTAAATTTATTATAATAATATATAATAATTATTATATAATATTAGGAAAAATTAAATTATTTAAAAAAATTGGCTCTTTGGCCTTTTTTTATTTATTTATACTATTTTATACATTTAGAGCCTTATAACTACTTTTATTTTTTGAAAAATGTTTAAAAAATTTATTGAATTGATATTTTTAATATTTTAAAAATTATTCCATATGACATTAATTAGAAATTAATAAATTTCGCTCGTTTTTTACAATGCAAATTAAAACAAATAAACGGTCTATATCGAATTAAATGTGAGAACAGCATTATTATAAATTCATCCGATCGAAAGGAACGTAGATGTTACAATGATTTGATCATTGTAAACTCGATCGGACGAATTTGTAATGATAAGATCCTGTCTCACATTGCCTTTACAATACACTCGCATTGAGAACAGGAAAATCAATCCGAATTATAATTATTATATCAACAAGTCCGTATCGCATCATCACACATCTTAAGAAAATATCATCAATCCAACGACTGAAACATTTGTAAGAATCGCTGAAGAAGAACTTGTGAGTTCCGAAACGTACGACACTTTAGTTAGAATTTTATATTTTCATTTATATTATAAAATTTAAGAACAACATTAAATTTATTTAGCTTGATATGGATCATTTATTTATTTTAATTAATTAGAAAATAATACTGTAATATTATATATAATAGTTATTATACATATAACTATATAATACGTATTACAGTATTATTTTCTAATTAATATCATATTGAATAATTTTTTAAATATTAAAAATATCAATTTTAATAGATTTTTTTAAACATTTTTCAAAATGATTTAATTTTTCCTAATAAATGTTAAAATACATAAAAATATAAACATTATATAAATATCAAATATTACAATAATATTTCTGTGATATATGTCTCAGTAATATTTCTATGACATTTCAATAATATTTCACCGATATTTCTGCTAGATTTCATTGTAAAGCCTATTGCACATGAAATACATAACAGAGCATAAGCATAATACATAAGACCACTGGACCATAATGAGCATCCAGCATAAAGTCGCCATATTGATTTACATAAGATGCTCATTGGAAAATGGAAAAATAATGTTGCTATATGATATTATGTGCTATATGAGAGTAGAATTATATCTAGGAGATTTAGTTGTTGACTTGAAAATCCTATAGGTTCACAGAATACCGCATAATAGCTATGAAGTTAACATCAACCCTAACAATTTTGATATAATACCTACGGTTTTCAATTTCATCATTTTTGATACACACGTACACACACGCGCAAATATCGATCATTTAGAAACTTTTAGACTAACAAGGCTATTGCATTATAACGAATTATTTTGCGCAATTATTGTAAAATTGTAGTCAATTAAAGATATTATGGTATTGTTAATATACAATATTTATAAAATAAGTACTTATTAGAAGTAAGCAATATTTTCACAATTTGCTTCTCAGGATTATTAAAGTAACTTATAAATATAGATGTCATTTTACCTTTTAAAATGCAATTGCGAGCTTCGACAGCTTCGTAGGAAAGCCCAGCGGAATTTGTAAAGTTAAGCTCGTGCTTTAATTTTGGTAGCGACGCCTTTACCGTGCCACTTGGCAATTCCACCTCTGTCGGGCACCAAAAGTTGTCGGGTACTTTTATTGTACCCTTGGTACCGCAGATGTACGCCTCATTTGGCAATTTAATCAACGCATTTGTCATGATTGTCGCGATGCGATTCCCTTTATAGGTCAAAGTAGCCGACATACACATATCAACGCCATTCTCATTTAGGAATCCGGTCGCTTTAATATTCTCCGGCATTTCATTGTCATATACCAAACAGGCAAATTGCAAACAGTAAATACCAAGATCAAGAATTGTTCCACCGCCTAATTCTTTCAAGCTGTAAATTTATTGATTAATTAATTCATTGCCTTTTACCCCTTTTAGACGCTAAACAATTAATAAACATTACGCTATCCGATCCAAGTTAGGCATTTGAACACCGAAGGAAACGATCACTTGATGAATATCGCCTATATTACCAGATGCAATTTCCTTTCTAATAACGTCATACATGGGAAAACAGCGGCTCCACACGGCTTCCATTAGGAATAGATTTTTATTCTTTGCGTAATTAATTAATTCAGTGGTCTGCTTCAGGTTCATCGTCAATGGCTTCTCGCACAGGACATGCTTGCCATGCTTCAGCATGAGCATCGCAATGTCGAAATGTTGAGTATGAATCGCTCCGATATATACGATGTCTTAATATAGATAAAATAAAATAAATACAAGTATATAAAATTTAATTGACAATAATTTTTATGAAGTAACTATTTTTGTGCATTACTTCTTTGATTATACGCGAGTATTCTAATAAAATTTTTTTCTTAAAATTCTTGAAATAATTTCTCAAATTTTTCTCTGTAATTTTATAACTTTATAAAACTTCTGATTCTTCACAAGTTCAAACTTATTTTTAGAAATACTAAGAAAGTTGAATCTACAAATTTTTTTTAATTTACATATGTATGTACTATATTAAGTCTAAGTTTAAAGTATTTTTTTTAATCTTTATAAAATATAACACTTTAATATAATGAAAAGCATTATGAGAGATAAATATAATAAAATTTCTTATTCTATAATTTCCAATGGAAACATAAGATCAGAAAAAATTTACAGTATTTAAAAAAAAAATATTAAAAAATATGAAAAATTCTGAAAAATATTATATTATGAAATTTTTTTATTAGAATATTACAGTGAAAGTTCATTGATTTCAGTTGATTGAACAACATTATTAATATAATACACTTCGCAATTATTTACCAATATCTTTGTTTAATCCTAGTTTCATATAATCATCGTAAGCTGTTTTAATTTCGTGCAACTTTGCAAAATCTTTCGCACGAGACAATTGCCGTGCTGCAACGGCGATGACATCATGTTCGTCAGCTGGCAAAGATCGCAATGCTGTCACAAAATCGTGCGAGATCTTTCCTGCGCTAGCAATACCCCATCGTAGAGTTGTCATCTAAATTTTTCGCAAAAGAAGAAATTCTCTCAATTTAGCAGTTTACATCGTGTATTTGATACGAATGCGAACGATAGTAACTTTCTATTAAATTATCTTCATTTCGGCAAAAAAATACATATAAAATATAAATTATATATATAGGGTGAGGAAAAAAGATCGGTACCCCTGAATAAAACTCGAAAAATATAACTTTTATAAAAAAATGTTTCAGACAAAAAAGTTGTAGAGCTTAAAAAGATTTATTATTATTTTCAATATTATATTTGCCGTACCATCGAATGGTCTTTTTGACGAAGACCAAAAGCAGGTTGTGTTAAAATTTTAAAAATTTTACGACTTTCCAACTTTTCACGGGCAAGGCATGAGTAGGCTGAAAAATGTCATTACATACATTTTAAAGTTTAAAATTTTTTCTTTTTAATAAAACCTTGACCATCACTCTAGCATGCCTAGAAGTTGAGTTATCAGGTTCTAAGTAGAGACCTAGAAAACAGAGATGCGTCATTGAAGGGTATGACTTGATTGGCTGTCTAAATCACGTGATCAGAGAGCCATTTTAATTCACTATTGCATCTAATAGATATAGTTTTATAACGTATGTACATATATATATATATATATATATAGAGAGAGAGAGAGAGAGAAAAATTTAGACAATACAGTGTCGAAGTGCAATAAAAAACTTATTATGGTGTAAGTATTCTTATTTGTGTGAATATTTAATATCGGACTTAACCTAACCTAATCTAATCTTTCTACCTTTTGCATCAACTGTCATCAGCTTATTGGTCAAGAGCACTTATATTGAATTAAAATGGCGGTGGTTACCTAACCCAACCGACGCAATGTCGCATCTCTGTTTTCTAGGCCTCTAGTTCTAAGGGCTATGGCAGAGAACGAGACGTAACATGCGTAGTCGTAACGTAAGGTAAGGCAGAGAAAAACGTAGCTGTCATAGTAGTGACTGACAGTACTGGCAGTCACTACTACGACAGCTACGTTTTTCTCAGCCTTACCTTACGTTACAACTACGCATGTTACGTCTCGTTCTCTGCCATAGCCCTAAAGGGAACTCTACATTTTACAAGATTTTAGATAACTATCGCCAGTATTCGCGTGTTACCCGGTATGCACCACGGGGAGGCTGCTCGATCTAAATGCATGCATGCGTATGTGCGTGCGTGTAATTTCGATATGATAATTAAAAAGATACACATCTTTTTGAAACCGACAAAAAAGTGGACGATGGAGCGTTTCAATGTATCTACTATCGACATTATTAATTCGAAATGTAATCGAATGTAAAAGAATTAGCACTCACTTCGCAGTAACGAAGTAGTCCCCACGACGTCCGGAAGTATACTAACTGATATACTAACAGTTTCGCAAGCAGGCAGAGGTTAGCAGACGCCGCTTACATCGGCTTTATCTTGTTCATCGACTTTGAAGCAACCTTGTAATATGATATACACTACATAAGTCATAAAAAAAACATTTAGTTTATTACGCTTGTATCTTTCGCGCAATATTTTTGTAAGTTTTAATTATTTTCACTGTTGATAATATATCAATATACAGTTACAATCATCAGGGCTGGGTAAAATGCCTTTCGAATTCCATTTAAAATACCAAATATAAAATACTTTTGAAAAGAGTATTTAAAATACAAAATGTAAAATAGATTCTTTTAATCCATTTTAAATATAAAATAGATAAATGGGAATTTTAAATGGTTTTCAAATGCAAAATGGTCTTACTTGGTATACATATTTTTAAGTATTTTATGTTGGAAATTACTTTGCATAATGCTGGAACATCCATTTTTTTAATAAAAATCGATATTTATGGATTTGTAATTAATATCTATTTTATATTACAGTTTAATTCACAATTTATTGGGATAATTATAAAAAATTAAAGAAAATACAAGAAGAAGGAAGTCAATAACAGTCAAAGCTGGATCATAATGCTTATTATAATTATGTGTGAATTTCGTATACTGCGTATGTAGTCCCTCCATATAAATCGCGACGCTGACAGTTTTTCAGCATTGACGCGCGCATACATACTTACTACCGCAGTAATATCACGAACTTTAATTGATTAACAATTCTTGATGCTCATAGCATCATGGATCTTAATAGTTTTGAATGACATATTAAAATCTGAAAAGGATAATTTTTAATTTTCGTATTTAAAATTCTGTAATTCTTATGTATTGCGAAAAATATTAATAATTTTGGTGTTTCGTCCAGGTTTCCACTATTGGACTCATCAGTAAGGTATTGTAGTGGAAACCTACCTTAGACGCCTGTGTAAATTATTAAATCGAGATTCTATATATAGAGATATACGCGTATCTCAGTATTTGCAAGAAATTTTTACGAATATCGATAGACCTCTGATGGGGGAGGGGATCGACGTAGTAATATTCTTCGCAATATTTATCTAAAGTAGGAATAACGTCTTTTTCAGGATCGACGTGTATTAACAAATATTAAAATCTTTTTAAGACTGTATAATGATAAATAATATTTATATGGGAGTACTACATACGCAGTATACAAAATTCACACATAATTATAATAAGCATTGTGATCCAGCTTTGACTGTTATTAACTTCCTTCTTCTTATTGTTGTTTATCATTATACAGTCCTAAAAAGATTTTAATATTTGTTTAAAAAAATACATTTTACAGTAATACAGTTTTATTTAATTTAATAAACGCACTATTTGCTTTGAGTAACAATTGTTTTTTAAATGTATCAGACAACATCGTCATAGAAGAAATTGTGTTCTCACCAACCACGATACTTGATTCTTCTTAAGGGAAAATTTATGAATACATAAAAAAACCATTTACCTATTTTATAAATGGTTAAATGATAGACATGATTCCATTTCAAATGTAAAATGGAAATGGTTTTCCAAAAAACTATTTAAAATGGAAAATGCAAAATGCCATTTCCATTTTAAATATGTATTTAAAATGGAACTATTTTAAATATTACCCAGCCCTGACAATCATATCCAATTTTACAGATAATCATTTACGTATTAACTCTCCGCTTGCATTGCGAATTTTAAAGAATAGTTAAAATTTATACTTTTAAAGTTATCTTCTGTATTTTGCTATATAAAATATAATATAATATTTATAAAGTTTAAAACGTTTAGAATATAATGTACATACACAGAAATGTTAAATAATAACTTCCATCTTTTGAAGCCCTTGGGCTGCGTAAAAATATAAATTATTTCATTGCAACACAATTAAAAAGAATCTTTTAATGCTGCATCTTTTCAGGAAATGGAAGTAACTATAATATAATTACTTGTAACACTGTTACTGTTACTTTTTTTGGTAATGGTCTGGTCACATTATTTTTTGTTTTTAATAACTGTAATGGTATTTACATTATTTTCGATATTAGTAACGAATTTTATTTTGTCATTACTTTTTATATTTTGAATCTCTTGATGACATAATTTTCGCACATTTAATCTGCAATCTTTCATCAATATTCATAATTTGTTGTTTAAGATATCGTCTTATATAGAATAATTTTAAGGTTATATATCTTTAAATATAATTTAAGGTTATATAATTGGGAAAGAAAAATAACGGAACGGAAAAATAATGGACAGAAATAAACAGAATAGGAGCTAACCAATCAGAATCATTCCATCCGCTTTTTCGTATCCGGGCTGTTTATGATAAAACTTTCTTCTTTTGTAGCCGGATATATGGGAATATATTAAAATGAAAAAATAGAATTTGTGTAATAGAGTTCAAAATAAAAATAATAATTGAGAAAGAATATCATTAATTCTGTATATGTGACCTTCAAGAGATCATTAACATTTAAACGAAATGGAATATCAACTTTTATATAATAATCAATGTAAATAAAAAATATAAAATTTGATAAGTTTTTAGATTTAAATGTGACCCTACTCTTTGATTTTAATATGTCATTCAATATATTATTAAGATCCAAGATGCAATGAGTATCAAAAATTGTTAGATTGTTAGTTAATTTAACTCGTGATAGTACTGCAGTAGTTTATTAGTTTGCATTGTAAGTCTAAAAAAATTTCGGCGCGCATTTAAGGATCTACATATGTAGTATATAAATTCACACGAAATTATATTAGAAGCATCTAAAATCCAGCTTGACCGTAAATGGCTTATTCTCATTGGTATTTAGTTAAAAAATTTTTATGTTGCAAGTATTAAAAAATGTATAAATTTATGTGTATTTATAAATGTAACGAAAAATATCTTTTTACATTTTAAGTATTTCAAAATCTTTTTTCTTAAATATTTTGTTTTGTAGATTTTATACGGATTTTATTGCTTTTATTTTTTAAAATAATACGAAAGTAAATTTCTTAAGGGGGGAACCTCGTGTAAAATTGATTTTTTCACGTTTTTTTTCTGTTTAAATTGTTAGGAAATTATCTCAAAAATATGAAAAAAAACATTAGAAAGTTATAAGAGACTTCCTTTTATGTTAATTTCAAAGAAAGGTAAGTCGGCCTCAGCGGCCCGGAGCGCGCAGATGTACGAATATCTGCCGGGCGCTCGGTCTTTCAGTCCCTTTCTATTATATTCATATATACCTTTAGACAGGAACTTGAAGAGGAAGACCCGCTGTACCCTGGAATTGTTGATTGATTGAAAATCCAGGTAAATTTAAATAATTACAATTTTCACAATTTTTTCTTCACGAAAACTTTAAACGTCTTTTTCTCAAAATGCTAAATTTTGCACGCCGTGCAATGTAACTTAAAAACTACTTGACCGATCATCTTTAAATTTTACATGCTCATTCTTCAACTATCTAGTCTCAACATGAACCTATCCAATAATTAATATTTTACTTTAAATAATAATTATTAACAATTGTTTAAGACAAAAAAGTGATTTTTTTTGTATATGTCGCCGTTTTTGCAATTTTATGAATTTTATTAATTATTTAGGTTCATATTGTGCGTTTTTACATAAACTAACGAAATTTTCTTGAAATATTTGTTTCAGATTAATTTTGTGACCTCAGCGTTGCTCGGCGCAAATTTAAGGAGCCAACTTCAAGCAGCTGTTGTGCTGCCATTTTGAAAATTTTCAACACAAACAAAATTTTTTTAATTAGCTTAAATAGTGAATATTATTATGAGTCTAGATTTAATCAATTTTGTCATTAAAAAAAATCTAGAATAAACGGCCATTTACACGAGGTTCTCCCCTTAAGTAATCTCCCTCTCTAATCTTATTTTCGTATTATAAAAGTATAGTTTTTAAAAAAGCCACTTTTTTAATTGCAAGAAATTATTTCTTTTAAGGAAAAAAGTAAATCTGACAAGTTATAAATATATGAATTTTTCAATAAATTTTTTTACCTTTAAAAAAGGAACTGAGAAAATCTGAGGAAAATGGGAAAATCCGTTTTTTTACCTTTAAAACAGGAACTGAGAAAATCTGAGAAAAATGGGAAAACCCGTTTTTATTTTATAACAATCAGTTTTACAATATAATCAAAGATTAAAAAGAATGACGAATAATTTTTATAAAAATATGTAAAATATATTTCTCTTGACATAAAACAATACGATGACAAAACATATTAAAAATTAAAGAATACTAAAACCAAATATACGTACTACTTCATTCAAAGCATAAATACATATAATGCATAAATACATATAACTTATTTGTAATTTATTACTGAATATTTTTTAGTACTACATTTTTATAAGGGAACGTGTTGTCACTCATTATCTGAAAAATAAGTATTAAAAACAAGTAATAAAAATATATGTATAAGGACTCTTTTTAATAAATAAATTGAAAAATGTAAATAAAGGGCATATAAGAATCAAAAAATTAAAATAATTTTAAATGTCAAATTTTTAAGATATATAACATAGAATTTTAATAGATGTATGTTTAAACAAAATAGATGTTGTTAACAATGTTGACATTATATGAAAATTGAAAATTTAAATCGAAAGGTACCTGAGCCGAATAAAGCCCAGTACAAAATAAGGTCCACTTTTAAAATTACCGCTTATAAATGCACTTTATGTATAAATTATGTGCTTAAAAGATATGTCATAGGGCCGATAAGATGTCTAGAAAAAAAAACCGGCAACAACTCAGTTTTTTAGTATAATGTGAACTTTGTGACGAGATGGATGTTTTGTGTCGTTTTTATAAAAATCCGCTGCAATAAATTGATAATATTTGAAAAAGTTTATTAAATATACGTTATTTTGTAATTTATTATAACATACTATAATATTATTCAACTCTCTAATCAGTAAAAATAATAAATATATGTATATATCAATTTTTTAGAATAAATATATTGTTTAGGAACGATACACTCATCAAATAAGGCCCATCTCTTTTCCTTGTATGATATTTGATAGAAACAAGGATAAACTGATGCTTATATGCATGTACCGCGTCGATGTGTTTTGATGGTATCGATATCGATTTGATATTAGCTTTCTCACTGGGTAAATGGTATCATGAGTTATGTATGGGACTTACATCATAAGATACAGATTTTCGATGCTGTTAATATTTTCAAATTAAAATTTATTGAGTTAAAGTTACCTGTAAATGTCAAAGACGATTACCAAAGATTATTTGTTATTTTAAAAAATGTTTTTTTTTTAATAATGTTTATTTTTCATTGATTTGTTATTCGGGCTTTATTAAATACATATGCATGTAATAAAGCCCAAAATCAAATTTTTTTAAAACAAATTTTTTGCTTATTTAAAAATCTTTATCATGAAAAATGTATACATTTTTTATTAGTTATTAGAATAAAGATTTTATTTTTACAAAGTTTATTTTAATGTCCCTATAAATAAAATTAAAAAAAATAAAATAAATTAGGTGGACCTTATTCGGCTCAGGTACCTTATTTCAGTTTATATGATTGCGGTGTTCTTTTATTCATGTTTTTAATTGTCTTCCCGTCTGTCCGACATAGGAAGCATCGCAATCTTTACAATTGATTTTGTAAACAACATTATTTTTGTTGCATTTCAGGCAAGAATCTTTTTGAGCTTTAATAAAGTTACTCAATTTGTTAATACTGTAAAAAGATACTCTTAATTATTTTTTATTGAGTCTATTAAATTTATCTGTAACAAATGGTATGAATGGTATCGTAAACCAAGACACTGGTTCTTGTGTGACATAATTATTGGGAGAATTATGTGAAATTGTTTTATCTTTAAAGTGGAATTAAATTCTCCGATTGATTGTATCAAAAATGAAATTTAACGGAGTCATTGTCAAGTAAAATAGTTATTATTGTTTTTAAATTCTTAACATGGTATTTATTATCTGATAATAGTAAAACTCTGTTAACTAATCCTATTATAGTGCCTCTTTTTTGGGATATAGGATGGTTAGAAAAATAATTAAGATATCTGCCCGAGTAACTTTGTTTACGATACCAATCAAATTCTAATGTATTATCAAATTATTTATAATAGTAACATCTAAGAAATTAATTGTGTTATTTCCGATTTCGATTGTATGCTGCAATCTTGGATGGAAGGAATTAAAACAATTAAGAATTTTTTCTTAAAAACAAGCAATTCACTCTGTAACTGGTTCAAATGAATTAAAATTTTCAGAATTACGCATTTGCGAATGTTAGAATAAATTCTTTTCCATCGGAATGCATTTTTATTCATTTGTAGGAATAACAGTATGAAGCACCTTTCTATGATGTCTTTCAATGTTAAATATCAGCTCTATACTTGTGAATACTGTACAATTCAAAATTCTGAATAGAAAATGTAGTTTTATATTTATCTTGGCAAATTTTTAATTATCTTAGCATATTCAAAAGATTTAGAGGTTTTTACTCAAGACTTTAATAAAAAATCTCATAAAGATCATATTTCAACGACTTTATTTTTAATATATACTGTTTTCAGATTTTTTCGTATCTCAAATCAATCCAAATCTATGATTAAAACACTATATAATAATAATGGTATAGTAGAAGCCATACTAAATAATTACATTTTAATGTATGTACTTTTAAAATATAACTTTAATTTTTAATATACTCTTTTTACCAATAATCTACTAATAACACTTTTATGCCACTGATTGTGTATAATACATCAGGAACTACTTTATTTTCTTAAATCTAACTAAAATACAACTAAGTGTTAATATATTCTTACAATCTTCAATTAATACAAATATCTACTATATATAAAAAATAATTTAAGTTGCATATTTAGTTGTAAACATAGTTATATCTCTTAAAGGAAGTATTTTACATAAAGCACGTCCACGCAACAAACCGTGAGGTACTGGTCCATATACTCGTGAATCAGTAGAATTATTTCTGTTGTCACCTTCCAGCCAAACGTGTCCATAAGGTATCTGCAAAAAACAATAATTTATTACTACATCTATTAATGCATGCAAAAACTATTAACTGAAGGAACAAAATGTATACAAAATAATTCTCCAAGGATGTAAAATATCATCAAAACGCATTCTAATAATTTACCGTAGTTATATTAAAGCCATCCCTTATTTTGTCACCAGGCAGACCTATGATTCGCTTGCATATGTTCTGCTCCGGATTGTTGGGACATTTGGAAATGACAATGTCCCCCTTTTCAAGCCTTTGCAATCTAACTGATATTCGTTCCAGAAGTAAGACATCATTAGTGTACAAAGTAGGTTCCATAGATGGACCACTGCACTGTAATTACATCAGCAATGATCATATTGTCAAGTTGAAAATTATTTGACAGTGGCAAACAACAAAAAAATGCATAATTATATCCTTACCACAACAATATCACCTACATACTCGTACACGCAGTACGTCACACATGCACATTGCACGAAGCCACGGATAACCTTAATGACAAATTTGTTTAGCTTTAGCATTATAACGAAAAATTGACAAAGAAAAATCACTTCTTCTCGCTCGGAGTATCAGAATTGCGTATGCACATAACATTCGCATCAGGACGCGTAGTTTGCTCTATTCACTCACTATCACGCGTATGTATACTACATAATTATGCGAGGTAATTGTTTACAGTACCTCCTCTCTACTTCGACTTTAATGAAATTAAGCTTATTCGACACATTTTTGCACGAAACGAAAGAATCTGACGAAAAAACTTTGCTCTCCACTGTGAACTACAAGATATTAAGCATTAAAATTGACGATTATTGAGATAATCCGTTAGTTAGCCGCCAAATACTACGATGCGAGCTGACGCGAGCATGCACCATGCGGTGCGATCACATGTTTTCCAATCCCAAGTGATGTAAACAAAGAGATTGGATGTAAATCGTCGGATCGAAAACGCTGAAGTGAGCACTCGCTACTAATTGCCCAATTGGTCGTGTTCAGCAGACTCAGGTTGGAGTTCCATGAGGCGTATTTGCCGCGTATCGCGAAACCAATCAGTAATCAGTAAAACGCGAAACCCACAACAGCAGATTGCTTCTGATTGGTTACGCCATCGACATATAGTATGGATTGCGCACAGGCTGAAAGAATATGACCGGCCCGAAAGAAAGAGATAGCGACCGGTGTGGGTCAAGCTCTGTCTTTTTCTAATAGCTCTGTCTCTTTCTATCGTCTAGCGATATCCACTGGGCGATAATAAAAGCAGCCAATAGGTGTATTAGAAAGAGCGAGCGATTGACCCACACTGCGTTTCTTCTTTGTCTAATTCACCGGACACTTTTCGAGGGGATTTATGAATTGATCGCGCAGTCCATACTATATGTCGATGGGTTACGCAATTACGCGATGCGCGGCAAATACGCCTCATGGGACTCTAGTAGCCTAAGCATTTGATACGTCCTTGTTTACATTGATTTATCTGAAAACAGGTGTTAAGTTATAGCTTTTTCATCCATAGATAAAGTCTCAACTCGGCAATTTAGGTCTGTAAAGCTGATATCCCCAAATGCAAATTTTGATAAAATTAACATCGCAATCGATTGTTCACCAAAAAAAATTGTTGTCCACCCTTGAAAAAAATTATAAATAAATAAAAAAACTATAGCACCCCCAATATTGAATATTCCTCTGAATTACATACGGAATTCATTTGTCCACCATATGGGTTTGTCCACCCTTATTTTTCTCCAGCACCTTTCAAAAACAAGTTATAACCAAATTAAAGTTTAATAATTCGTCAGTTTTGGGGATGCTTTCATTTAAACAAATTGTATGAAAATTCTGTTTATAACATTTTATTTTTATTGAACATCTTTTTATAATTTATTTTTTGTCATTAATAGAGCCCGAATTAAAGTTCTAAAATCGCGTTGATCGTAGCTAGCTCTCCCCACTTTCACGTCGCTTAAAGGTTGCGACGCGCGACTGTAGTATCAATGGTGGGGAGCGACGGTGGTGTGGCAACGGTGTTACTCGAAACAAGGAACGGAATACAAACGAGAAAAATACTAAAATATAGCAGATACATTGAACTGTTATTTCCAGATTTTCCCCATTATTTCGAATAGTTTTAAAATAACTTTATTCGACATTCTGTAATAACTTTCTTTATCTATAAAAGTAACACACAATAAAGTACATTTTTTAATTGTTGTAATTGAAGCCTCTTCGTTTTTTGCTCAATATATTTTTATACTGAGAAAAGCTGCGTTCTACGTCGCAAGAAGTGATAGGCGCGTACTTGAAAAATTTCAAGTCCTGTTTGAAAGAAATTTGTTTTTGCAAGACCTTGGAAAAGATGCTTTTATATTGTCTTGTTGTTAATTGTCCCACCGCGGGCATGACGACTATGACGAGTGGTAGTGGGAATGTGTTATTCTTATAGTTTATTTACTTTATTAGTTATTACTTTATTGCTATAAACTACAGTTTAAAAAATAATAACAAAAATCTGTATGTTTTACTATACATGTAAGTATTTTAAGTATTTAAAATAACTTGTACAAAGTTTGATCATTGCGATTCATCGATTAAAATTTGACAAAGATTTAGAACAAATAAATATTTTATTTATTTACTAGGCTAATTTTTGTATCACAGTATATGTAATTTTACATAAATAATCTTGTGAATACATAAAGTACTTATATTTAAAATATGCAGCAAGTATTTGTCATTTATTTCATAAATACATTTCCATATATTCCTATTAGAGCATATAGATTCAAAAAATATTACGTCGTATTTTTTCGAATAACTTATTTATGATCTAAACTTAAATGTTAAGCCATCGCATCGGTAAAACAAAATTTGTATTATTTTTAAATATGATTCGGAATTACGGTGAAATTATTTATCGACATCCTTCAGTTGAGTTCCTGTGAAAGAATCTGTAGTCGCGGGCGAAAGATTGGCGATGGGCGCGTTTGCACGGTATGCTTGCGCGTTGCGCGCGAATCGGACTGATCGGAGCGCGGCGGTCCGGCTTAGAACGGGGCGGTGCGGCGCGGCGTCGCGATACTCTCGCGATATATATCACGAGAATCACCCCTTTAATCGGCGGCGGTAATCGGGCGCAGTCGGTGAATCTCGGGTTCGCGCTCGGTTCCGTCGCGCTCCGTGGTGTGGTGCGTGTATGAAATCTCGGTTTAGTTTAATATCTTTGGCAGGTTACGATTGACTGATCGAAAGATCGCTCGCCGAGCCCGCGCGATCAGCTTGCCGATCGACCCGTCTCTGGAGAACGGATATATCACGGTGCGCGCGATAACGCGACAGGTGCCGAGAGCCCCGAATAGACTACACGAGGGAGGAGGCCGGACAACGCGCGCGCGCGCGCGCGCGAGAGAGAGCGACACAGGGAGTGACACGCGACGTGGTGCGTCCGTCCGTCTGTCCGCCCCCTCGCTCGCACGGCTGGCTGTCCGTCCGTCCGCCCGCCCGCCCGTCCGTTTGTCCACGACCGCTCGTACGCACGGCACGGCACGGCACGTACGTACGACGTACGCACGGCGTCGGAACGCGCGCGCACATACACACATACACACACACACATACACCCCATACACAGATACAAACGCACGGAGGAGACCGAAAAGAGCTCCCCCGTCCGAAGGCGCCAATTTAATGGATCCGACCATCGGTTGGTACCAACCGGAGCAGTACGGCCCTGCCAAGGACCTTTGGTTGCACATCTGGGAGGCCGAGAAGGGTCTCGACGTTCTGACCCTGCGTAACGACGCGAACACGAGTAATGCGATGGGTGTTCGGCTGCAGCAGGACTTTCTCGCGCTGGACACGAGCCCGGCGGCAGCGACGGCGACGGCAACCGCGCCCGGCACCACGCCGTCATCGAACAGCAGCAGCAGCACCACCACTGCCAACGCCGGTGCCGGCAGCGGTGCAGGCAATGCCGGCAACGGTAACAACGGTAGTAACGGCCGAGCTACGTCCGCCGTTCAGGGCACTGCCACTGGCAATGGCAATGGCGAGCACCGCGTGCCCCACAATGCTTGCAACTACTATTACAACCCGTCCCGCAGGAAAGGCGAAAATCGAGCGAGCACCTACGGCATGAACTACAATTATGACGCCCTCGTGGGCGAATACGGTGGCTGTCCTTGGCGTGTGACCAACAAGCACTACTCCATGGGGACGATTGGGTGAGTATATTCGACTCTGCATCATCGATTCGGAGAGATTCCGCCACAAGGTCCATATGGCTGTTTGTTAGGTTATGTTAGACCGTCCACTTAAACAAAGTGCTTCCAATGCCTCCAGACGATATTGAAGACTTGGCAGGATGTCTAAGGAAGAGTAGCTTGGGGATAATAGCAATCTTTTGGGATTTAAATTATTATTTCGCCGAAAGAGGAGAGTCTTCCTATACATGATGTTTTACACTCTCTCTCTCTCTCTTTCTATCTACGTAGGTTTACTAATAAAGCTGGTAAACAGCCATAAAAAATTATTGTCATTGTTGGCTAGCATAAGAAATTGTAAACATATCTCATATGTTCAACATTATTGTATTATAAACTCAAGGACATGCCAAGTATCTTTCACAAAGATGTCTCAAATTCAGATGGAAATGCTATTTCTAAAGTTGTTAGAGATTGCATTTATTTGAAATTTGTTTTGTTTTTTTTGCACATTTTATTTCTAGATCATTTAAACATGTTGATACTGTCCAGACATTGAATAGGAAGAAATGCTATTTCTAAAGTTGTTAGAGATTGCATTTATTTGAAATTTGTTTTGTTTTTTTGCACATTTTATTTCTAGATCATTTAAACATGTTGATACTGTCCAGACATTGAATAGGTTTATGTTTTTGTTTAGATTACACGAGGAAATAGAAGATTTCTTCTCATACATGTGCCCCTCGCATGAAGAGCACGTATTAAGATTGAGAGTTGTAAAAAGGATAGAAAATGTAATTTATGATCTCTGGCCAGACTCTAAAGTCGAAATATTTGGTAGCTTTCGCACTGGTTTATATTTGCCTACAAGGTAGGTATCTTTAATCATTTGTAAACAAATCTGAGAGACAATTGTTCCATCTTCGAATAAATTATATAATAATTTATTAAATGAATAAATTAAAGAGATTTAACGAAAAATGGAACAATCCAGTCCGAGAGGAATATTTCTTTACCAAAAAGACTGCTTGTTGTTCAGTTAGTGTCAAACATCTAAAGACTTTCCTATTGTTACAGTGATATAGATTTGGTAGTAATAGGAATGTGGACAAATCTTCCATTGCGTACATTGGAACGTGCTTTACTAGATCGAAATATCGCTGAGCCATCTTCGATTAAAGTGTTGGATAAGGCCAGTGTACCGATCGTTAAATTGATCGATAAGGAAAGTGAAATTAAAGTGGACATTAGTTTTAACATGAATAATGGCGTCAAGTCTGCAGAGTTAATAAATTCCTATAAGAGGCAATATCCGGTTCTAGAAAAGCTAGTCATGGTATTAAAGCAATTTCTACTACAAAGAGATCTTAACGAAGTGTTCACTGGTGGTATATCTTCATACAGTTTAATACTCATGACCATCAGTTTTTTACAGGTGCGTACATTGTTACTAACATGTCTACTGGTATCTCACGTTTATTATTGTGACAATCTCCTTGAGAAATCAATTGCCGATGTTGAATCAAGATTCTGATTTATTACAGTTACATCCAAGAAGAGATATTCATTCTCCAAATACCAATCTAGGAGTGTTATTGATTGAATTTCTAGAGCTGTATGGGAGAAAGTTCAATTATGTTAAGACTGGCATTCGCATAAAGGATGGTGGTCAATACATATCGAAAGAAGAGGTCTCATTTATATTTATATTACAATATAGAGGCTGTACATCAGTTTATCTTTTATACTAATTACATGTTGATTAATAGATTCAACGGGATATGATAGATGGTCATCGACCATCTCTATTATGCATAGAAGACCCACTCACACCTGGAAACGATATCGGCCGTAGTAGCTACGGTGCTTTATATGTAAAGAGTGCATTTAATTGGGCCTATTGTATTCTCTCTCAAGCGGCCAATCCCTCAAATATCTTAATCAATGACGCCAGTAAAGTAAGGTGAGATTTATTATTGATTTCTTCTATTTCATTTTATTCTGTACAACATGTAAGTTATAACAAACGATACTCTTTCATTATATGCAGCATCCTAGGAAGAATAATCCGTGTGACCGATGAAGTAATATACTATCGTAGGTGGATCAAAGAAACATTCCTCTTACCTGTAAGCGAAGGAGATTCTCTGTCGAGCTCAACTGGTTCTGATGCGTCCACTCTTTCAGCTCCTGCTAGTGATACGGTACATAAACGTCTTAGAAAAATGTCTTTGTTATCTACATCATTATTATACACATTAATTTCTTTTATATGTATAACATTTTAATAATTTAATTGTTTTTGTTTTACATCCTATAATATACTGGAAAGAGTTCAAAGTCATGATTACTATATATAATAATGTATATAATCGCTATTAATTTTGAATTTATTTACGTATTTTTCTAAGGACTCTGAGTGTAGTCGTGGCAATTCTCCGAACACTGGTGGAAAGAGTGAAAACGACAAAAATAAAGATAGGCACTTTTACAATAGTCACCAAATTCATAATTATTCTGGAAGAAAAGCATTCAAAGCAACCATTCATGGTATGACAATCTATTTTGTTCGCTATTTGAGTATATTATCAAGTTGCTGTAACAGATTTCGATTACATAAATGCATAACGTTCGATGATATCCTTCGCATTTAACGCTTGCTATTTTTTTGTTGATGTTTCTTTGTTGCAGGCAATCACCAACAGAGTTTCAAAGGCAACTATCATCGCATCAATAACAATATAGTTGGTCAGAACAAAACCAAGCACGCACTTCACAGTAATGGAAATAATAATAACAATAATAACAATACTAGTCACAGTCCAAGCTCTAGGCCACATTCGATGAAGAGGAAGAAACAATGCACAATGCAACGTGGAACCGGAGATTGTGTACGGTGATGAAACGTACACAATAATTTCAGACATTACCTCCGTCACTTAAGTAGAGAGCTCAATATCATAACTGTGTGATAGACAGACAGCGATTAATGGTCGGTTATCGTAATAACTGAATCATCCTATGCGACTTCTCTTCGCTTTCAATTTCAGTTTTAATGTACAGAAGGGCACAACGTTTACGGTTCTGAGAGAACCAACAGTTTGAAAATTTTACGATTCTTGTGCAGAACACAAGAATGCCCAAGCAGTAATTACACAAATACATATACGTATATATATACATTTCTTTTTCTCCCCATTTGCCAGAAAATATATTTTGCTCTGTACGCAAAAGATTGTATATTAAAGAGACGTACAGAATTCCTAATCGAAATTCGAGATAAGATCTATTTATGGTTCACTTTTGTTGCACAGGTTATAAACGGTACCCGGTGTAATAACACTTTATTATCGTTATTTATAAAAAAATTTGCAAAATTTATCATTACCATCGTTGAATAGTAATTATGTTCACAGCCATAAGTAACATGTGTAATACAGTTAAAGTACGAATAGTATACAGACGATAATAAGTTATAGTACGTTTTTCTCAATACATAAAATTACAAAACATGCTAATATTGACAAAAACTTAGTTTTCTATATGAAACTATATTCTTATAAAAAAAGGGGGCGACACAGAAAATTTGGTGATATTGGCACTTATCTAATGTACATATTATTGTAATATACATCTCATCAAACATAGAAAAATAAGTCTAAGAGTTACCTACTAAATTTTTTTAACTTATAAATATTTAAAATAGTGTTTATTATAGTGATTTTATCATAAAAATTTGTGGAGCCATATCTATTTAAAAGTATACTTTTTTTTAAATTTTTTTTCTCTACAAAGCATAAATATATCGTTGTTGAAAGATTATGATATGTTTTTCAGATTTTAATAAAATTTCAGATTTACGCGCGAATAATACATACGATGGTAGAAAAAAAATATAATTGAGTAACAATATTTTTTAAAAAGTAGCTTATTATCTATCGAGACACAGAGTAATGACAACGCTTCGAATCTTTACAGTCTATTTCGTAGCAACATTTTTTCTTTTGCAAATTAATTTTATCTTTTTTTTTTGTACAGAGACGCCAGTTTCTTAATGTTAGTTCATAATTCTTAGTATCCTCGGAACAATGATGTATTATTTTTATATCAGATAATTAAATAAAAAAAATACGTTTGTATTATACAAAGGGAAAAAACGAAGAATCTGATATTTATGAATCTTACATTGCATTTGATAAAACTTATGTATATGACAATACGCGAAAAGGCCTTGACATTACTTTAAAAGCTCCGTATGTTCTTCGATCATAGTTAGACATAGTTCACTATCAAATATTACATTCCGTTGACGCAATAATTAATGAGACAGAATAGAATACCGCAAGTAAATCTCTTTAATGACATCAGATCAAAAATTTTTCTAGTGCAACTGCATTTTTGTGTTCAACGACTCTTTAATGTGCGATGTAAAGATTTATCCTTTTAACATGTTTAATTTAGTCACGTGAATTGAGGATGTTTAGAGAGCTTTGATATCTTTTTAAATTATATATAACACCCAATGTTCCGTGTATATTATTTAACTTAAAAGCTCTTTCATATGTAATATTGTAAGCTGTGATTGAATTTAATAATTAAATTGTCAATTGCTTAAGATATATATAAATATATATAAATATATAATTTAAATGTTATTGTAAAGCATTATATAAAGCCATATTACATTTTAAAAAACTGTAAACTATTATATCTTAGTGATCCTCAACAAATTACGTGTTTTTTTATAAATATCAGAATTTCGTAATCATTGAAGGTTTGATAACGAAACTTCGTGATCACTCATATTTATCGAATTTCCCGAACCGTCTGTAAAAAAACGTAAAAAAAAAAAGATGAAAAGTTTAATAAATATGAATGATGTCGATATCTGATTTTAAATTATTTCTCGTTTGTATGTTTTTAATTAAGGGAAGCGATTTTACCTCGTATATAGCCATCGTTTAAGACCAGCTAAATCGTTTATAAACTTCTCTCGATAGCAATATAATACTCTGTATTTTCCAAAAATTTTGATAGTCATGTATATTTATATTTGTGTGAGTATATTTTTAAATAAGCAATAATGTGTAACGAATGTAACGCGATCAGTGATGCCATTTTACCTTTGCAGAATTGTACTGTCGTTTCACAGCCGTTACATAGAGATTGTAAAAAAATATTTAACTGGCGTATACACATTACTGAAAGTTCGTAACTGTGTAACTGCGAATTTTCAAAAGTACAGGCAACAGTACAGTTACCTGTGCTTTGGTAATGTTTTTTTTTTAATAAACATGAAAAAACTTTCGCGAGGAGAAAGGAAAGTGAGATAGCGACTATGCGAATACTAAATCGTTATGGATTTAGCAGTCGTCGAGCCGACAGCGATTTGTACTTAACAATTGTCTACTCGTAAGTTTGTACACATATGTTTAATGCGAGATATGTGAAAAATGTATAGAAACGAAATAAATCTTGCTTACCTTTTTCTTCAATTAAGTTCTACATTTGAGCGATTTGCATTCAGTTCTTAATAGTTTAACATACGCTAATTTATATATTTATATCTCACTTATGATTTAATATGTTATAAAAACTAGTAACATTTATAGTAATATATTCTTAATATATTGATAGCGCTCTAATGTAACCACATGGCATTTATTAAAATTTCGTCACTTGTACATATATATGTGTATATACATACACAAGCGCTGAGAATATGAGATACTGTACATGATGACTAAGTAATTAGTAGTGGATAAATTTAATTAATTTATTTTCGAGCACAGAGACCGTCGATCGGATTCATGTCAAGTTTCTTCATGCGATCCAATTGCGCCAATTGTCTCTCCATTGAGAATGTTTCAGGCAAAGGCGGGTAAGCTGAAAGAAAAAGCATCATTTCATTAAATTGGCAACTTTCTCGATGACTCAACTTGAGTCACGTCGGGATATGGAGACATACCGAATGTCTTGAAGTACAAATACAGCCATATGCCAGCGCTCGATATTAGCAAAGACAATCCTACAATGCCCTTCCATTCTCCTGTCGGTGCATCCATCTCGCTGAATGTTTGGCGGAAACTGGCACGATACAAAATCTTTTTCTCCTCGATCGACAGCTTTTTCCAGTCTCCCTTCTCCTTTTCTTTCAGTGCCTAACAAAGGAAACATGGTGATTTGACAATTGCCACCTAGTAATGATTGATAGATCTATACTTTGCATACATACATTTGTATCTAAAATAAATTTACAGAGAAGTCCTTGAATATTCTACAAAATTTTGAAAGGTAATTCTTTACACTAATTCAAGATAAAAATATCATATGTTTAAAACAGCTTAGTCTCAAAAATACTGGATGTCAAAATTAAAGTAAAAAAATATTTTTAGAAAATTTCATTTTTTTCAAAAATTTTAAAAACTTTGAATTTTCTGATAATTTATGTTTAAAGTTTCATTAAAATAATGCGAGTGGTTTTCAAAATTTTTAGAAGAAATAAAATTTTTATTGCAAATTTAACAATCTGTATCCTTGAAATTAAGCTGTTTTGGACATATGGTCTCATACAGTTTTCTTGAATTAATATCAGGAATTATTTCTTAAGGGGCTGATATTCATTCACTACTACTATCTCAGATTATAACATCAGAGATGAGAAAACACAATAAACAAATTATAATTAAATTACACGGATATAGGTAAGGGAAGAAGGCAAGATTGACTATGATCTCTCTAAATTTTACAAAACAAAAATAATGAAAACTACTTAAATGGACTATGTTTAATGAGTATTAATAAAAAATTAATTTTGGCAAAAAAAAAAAAAAGAATTGGAGATAAAAATTATAAAAAGATTTTCAGAGAATTTAAGGCGGCTAGTGTTATAAATTTAAGTTTTTCCAGTTCAAAGAATCAGTTTACAATTTTAAGAAAAAAATAAAGTAAATTAGTAAGTTAAATATGTTTTTTTTTTTGCAATTTGCCTACTAGTAATTAATTAAAAATAACAAAATATAAAACAAATTCAATAATCTATTATTTGACTAGTACTTGAATTCAAGTCTTAATTCTTCTAAATTGACCCTCTCCCTCTAAACAAAAGACAAATGTCCATGTTTGAATATAGAAATATTTTTCAATTGATAGAATAAACTTGTAAAATGTAACAAAATCTATCTTCTTGTTTTGAAGAGAAAAAGTAAATCATATTTATTTTTATATATTAATTTGCTATAGCTGTAAACATAGCTCATTTCGTTTTCTGATTATATATGCACAATAAAAAAAAAAAATATATATAAATTTTTTGTTTCTCTCTGACGTTACATTCTAAGACAGTAATAATGATGAGCAAATAAGAGGCTTAAAATATTTTAAAATACTAAATACCATTTTGCATATTTAAAGTTTGGCTAAAACTCGAGCTAGAAAATTTTAGTGTAGCTTAATGTTTAATGCAGTAACAAAGAACAGACCCATGAGAGAGCTTTGGCTCTGTTATCCTTCTATTACCATGATATCAGGAGTGTTTTCTTTCCAGCGTAATGCAGGGTAGGGGAAATCTGTTCTATCTAAGTAAGTAGGTTCGCCATTATATCCAAAGCCGACTACATCCCTATTACCAACTCTGTCTAGTGTCATCAGTCCACATCTTTGGACTTGAATAACAGGTCGCAAATAACTCACGAATAGTCTGCCTGCCATTGCTCACTATAAAAATACAGCAGAAAATGTAACATCAAGGGACTGACAATTATTCCACATACAAAATTAGATATCTTATTATGGAATTAAATATGTGGAGATTTACATAACACTTGCAAGATTGACAATAAAATGTGTATAATAAAGTTGGATAAAACTGAGTTTTTGTTATCGGCTTAAGACTTAATAAAATTGGTGATATTGCAAGTTATGTCAAATTACGACGAATGTATCCTCGAGTTATCTGCTAATTCAGCACAATTATATGCATTAACATCCTGCAAGATTTACTTGTATACATGTTACTCTAATCGTAGAATTATTTGTCATACGCACAATCAATATAAATATCCGAAATTTTCGCGTTAACGGAGTCCTCACAGAAACGTCAATATTCGGGAGAATACCTTGCTCCGAGATCGAATATCATACATGTGAGCGAGTTACCTAACTGATAGCAAAGATAGTTCAGAATAGCTCGGCGGAAATGCGAGATGGAAGAGAGCCTCCTGCACGGAGCGCTCGAGGAAGATTACGTAATCACGTCGAGACTGTTGCGGCTGTCCAGTTATATCGTTGTGCCAAGTTAATGTTAACGTCGTACGACTCAATGCCAACTGATTCCACTGACGTTTACAACTGTTTCCTGTCACATTGAAATATATAATACTACTGAGACAAGCGTACTCCTATCTCCTATTATTACCTTGTTAAGAGTGATCCGAGAGAGAGCGTTCCAAAAAGTATCTTTATCTTTTTCTAACCTAGGCTGTTTAAAGCCCGTGTCATACTCATACTACGTAGTGACCCTCTAATAAGAGTCTGGCCACCTTCTCCCCGGTTTGTGATTGGTCCGACATTTATCATCCATTCCCGCAAATTTCTTTAAATTTATAAACTGTAAAAATTAATAAATTCGTAAAAATTAAAGTAGAATCAATTACAATTTTTATTTTTATTATTATTTAACTTATATTAACATTATTAAATATTTTCTATAAAAACTTTTATGTAAAAAAAACGTTGCAATATGTCTTTCATAAAATAAAAACAACAATTAAGTAAGTATTATAAAT